AATAAATCGTATACAATTAAAGGCATATAATTCAATATTATTATGAGGTTTAAACCTCGATTATAGATTTTTTTTTAATAAAGTTCACCCGAATTTAGGCATATTTTAGTATATAATTAGCTATTTTACACCACATAATTGCATATAATTCTCAAAATTTGCTTATATTACACCACATAATTTTTTTTTATACACAGAATTTTTTTATCACTGCAGAAAATCATTGTCCCTGCTCCAGTCATTTTTGAGTATTATGTGCATATGCACATGCACATGCTTTGAGCATAGCGGGCTTAATTCTGATTGGTCAATTATTAAATACATCATCACATATTACACTAAATATTTAAAACGAATTGTTAAAGAATGCGACATATAAATTTTGAAACTAAACTTTTATTCTACCTATAGTAAAATAATCCAGAGAATGGAGGAATAATCCAGAAGTTAGTGACAGGTATACATGTGTATCTAAATTGCCCATCTTAATAAAAAAGTAATTACAGAATTTAGACCACTGAAATTAGTTTATATAGTGCTGAAATTATTTTTTATATTTGCTGAAATTATTGCCAAAATTTTTTAAAATCTTTCTATCAAAATACATAATATAGTATAGTTATTTTGGAGGGCTTTATATAAAAAATTTAGCAATACTGAAATGTTTGCCAAAAATACATTTTTTTAAAAATAATTTAAGCATACATGTATAGTGACAGGGTGTATTTTTTGTCTTATAGGTTAAGGTAATTTAGCAATTAGCAAAGTAATTTGTATCAATACATGGGTATCTAAATTACTTCTATTAATAAAAAATTATTTCAATATTTAGTTTGTTGAAATTAATTTAATTAGTAGTGAAATTAATTTTCATAGTTGTTGAAATTCTTAGTGAAATTATTTGAATTATATATGACAAAATATATTAGGTAGTATAACTACTTTGTAGAATTTATATTAAAAACTAACAATAACAAAATATTTTAAAATTACCTTTTTTAAAAAATAATTTAGACACCATGTATATTTGTACCTTAGTTAATAAGAGATAAATTTTTTTAAAAAAAATTTGAAAATAGCAATTAAAGCAACAGTACTTACAGTTAAATTTTTTCTGAATATATATTATTTGACCAAGTTTTTAAAAGCTATAGTATATTAGATATAGCATACACATAAAATATGTATGATTACATGCTATGTTCTATAGTTAGTTTCTGATATTACATGGTTCATATTCTCTATTTGTATGTATTACTCTTATTGATAGTTGGCAGCTTGTTTTAATTCATTTATATTATTTATTTTTTATCATATTATTAAACTATATACTAGTTAATAAGTGATTTGGATAATTAAGATTATATATATTATTTATTTAAGAAATTGATAAATTTAAAACCTTTTTTTATTAAGTTTAACTAGAGATTAGAATTGAACTTAATTTTTATATTTGAACTTATTTAATTTGAATTTGAATTAATTCAAATAATTAATTGCTATCAGACAGACACTGTTTGATAATAGTTTTATCTGGCGGCTTAATATGATTTTCTGTCCAATAATTTTTTATTGGGCAGAGCAATAGTTTAAACTAGTTTAAACTATTTTAAACTTTTGTTTCTGTTTAATAATATATTAATTTATATAACATTCGAATTTATTGATTGCCTACTGATTCACATAAATGATTTTAACTGTTAATAACCATTAGATCAGTTTAGACTGTTAGAATACTTTTATAATGGTTAGACCATTAGAATATTTTTATAACTGCTATAATGGTATTACTATTATGAATTCAAGATTTTTCTATGCCCTAACCTTGTAGAAGATTCTAACACATATTTTCATATTTTTGTTATTTTTTATTATTATTTTTATTATTAGCTTGTCTGTATTACTTAATAGTCTTATTGCATATTATTATCATCGTTATTATTGCTTTTCTTGTTATTGCTATATTTATATTATTATTATTCTATATTTAGTTAGTCTATCTTATGATTATCGTATTCTTATTATTTATAGTGATTTTACTATATCTCAATAAATGTTTAAGTATAGATCTACCCTATTCTTTTTTTAGCGTATAATAGATTAGTTAACAGTATTTCTTAATTAGTTTAACTATCAATTTCTATAATAGTCAAATGACACATTGAATATGTTGCAGGGTGAGCTATAGTAATGAATTTAATGAAAACATGACACATGTTTGTTGAAGGCGTCAAGAAGCCGAATCTTGTTATAAGAATAGTTTCAATAAATTCATTGAGACAAGATGCAGTCACAATGAGTTATAGTGTTTATTATCAATGAGAGCTAAAGGAGTCAGCATTGAAAAGGATAAATCTACGGAGAAAGAAAATACCAATAGTAACTTAGAGTAAATAGTTTGTCCAATTTTAACATGTATTTAAAGAACCTAGTTCTGTGAATAAAGTTTTATCAAACTTCGATCTCACTAATATTTTAATAAATAGTTTTATATTGAGTTTTTTTTTTGTTATTGTATTGTCGACTCATTGTGAATACATCTTCACAACCTTGTTATTGTAAAACCTGATATTCCTATTGTTAAGACAGCTTAATGATCTTATTTATTTATTTACCTATTTCTTTATTTTTATTATATAATTATTACAACTACAATTGCTTATCTATTGTTGTATCTTTCATATTCTACACTATCATTATATTCTATCCAATATCTCTTTTGTTTATTATTGCTGACCTAAACTCGGTCACTTACTGATGCTCTCACAAATTTTGATAGTAATAATAGTTATAACTGCTATAATGAATATAACAGTTATAACTGCTATAGTAGATATAACAGTTATAACTACTATGATGGATATAACAGTTATAACTGCTATAATAGATATAATAGATATAATAGCTATAATGATTATAGATTATAATTGCTATATTTATATAATATAGTATGATAATATAAGATAACATCATATTGATATGTTGATAATTTTTTGATCAAAGAATACCATGAAGCAATATTTTCTAAATAATTAAAAAAATTATCACTATACCAATGTGATGTATCTCAGAATTATCATGCTATATTGGTATTATAATATGGCAGTCATAAATTGTACTGTTTATGTTTTTTTAAAACTTCTTTAATTCATATAGTGAAAAATGATGTAAATATATATGATATAAACTATACAATATAACAAGTATAAATGATGTAATAAAAAGAAAATAATTTCATAATATAAACGGTGTAATGCTTATGATCAATAGTGGCTATGCTATAATATAGTTAATTGCACAGGTCTTATATAACAATCTGTGCTTTTTTCACCTATTTATAGCACGTGTTTAAAAAAATAATTAAATCAGAACACTTTCATATTTTACTAAATATGAAAGTGTTCCAATTTAGTTATTTTATTTTTATTAAATTGATTTGTCTTCATATTTTCAAAATTGTTGATAGAGCATTAGGTTTTACTTTTTAAATTAGAGTAAATATATTTGTCACTGCTAGTTACATTTTTAAATGTAATAGGTCACATGAAACTAATATTTTAAGTAACGGTGCCTATGTAATACATGTAATATGTATTACCCATATAATCTGTGTAACTCAGAAATTTGGTGCATACTGTAATCTCAATATTCTGTACACATTATAACCCCTATACTTGACACCTATATAATATGTGTAACTTGTGTAATCCAAAATTTGGTGCATACTGTAATTCCAATATTCTGTGCATATTTGTAACCTCTAGATTTGTAACTCTGATATGCTTTGTAATCGATAATTATGATGACATTTATTATGCAGCAAAACAATAGACTTCTTTTTCTTAATCATACTTAATAATTAAGAGATCCTAGTTACAATTCGAATAGGTTTATTACACTAGTTTTTTGATCATAAGTTAACTACAAAAAAAATAGATAAAAAAGTATGAGAAGATGACAAGTAACAAAGCTAATAATGAGGTGGGCTTATATAAAAACATTGATAATAATAAAGGTTTTTGGAGGTCAAAGATACTGAAGCCAAAAGTGTTGAATTCGAAGATGTTGAAATGGAAAGTGTTAAACTCGAAAGTGCTAAAATCGAAAGTGTTGAAAACGAAGACATTGAAAATGAAAGCGTTGAAAATGAAGGCGTTGAAAATGAAGGTGTTGAAAATGAAGGTGTTGAAAATGAAGGCATTGAAATCAAAGGTGTTAAAATTGAAGGAATGGAAACTGAGGGCACTGAAGAAGTTGATGATATTTTTAATGGCAAGCATA